ACAGCACACCATCAGCAAAACGACAATTCAGTTGTTACTCTGCTCCTTCAGATAGACAGCAGCTGTTTCGATCATCGGGATCTCGTCAGTGAAGGTTGATAATGTAGAATGGCTAACAAGACAGGGAAGCTTGGCTCGGCATTGTGAATCAATGCACTAACTTATCATGCTAAACAAAAATATATCTGCGCTTACTTGAATATCCTTTTGGTAAATAACATTCCGTACTTAATTAATAATTATTATATTCCTCATGCCTAGGCTCATGGTGGAATCGAGGTAGTTTTTCCCTGCAATAACAGAATGAAGAAGGTGTGTATGTCATGTGTTTCTCGTTTTCTCTAACTCTTTTGCCGACAGATGCTTTAGCCCCATGGGTGATCTCACCCATGGGGTACATGCGAGCTGTTATTATAATTAATATTATTATTATTATTAACAGATAGTGAACTTCACCCTTTTGTAGCAAAAACATAATGGCACATATTAGGCGCAAAAAGGGGGGAAACATAATGGCGCATCTTAGGCGCGAAGATTAAGGCCTGATGATCGAAACAGCTGCTGTCTGTCTGAAGGAGCAGAGTACCAACTGAAATGCCGTTTTGTTGATGGTGTGCTGTGGCAACGTGTTGAGGTCGGCCGGAGAGCGTAGAGGTGTGGCGTGGTAGTTGATAAGATTCCTTTGAGAATTGTCGAAAATCTACCAAAATAATGTTGTTGCAAAGTACGTTTACGAACGAATGATGTTGCTGTAAGCATGACCGCTCGGGCTCTCTTCTTCAGTACTTGTGTGGTACTAGTGCGTTGAGGTCGTGTGACTCGTGTCTTTTGACCTCATCTCAATTCGTGACAAACATTAACCATTAGGAAGATCGTTACTAGCAAAATACTACACTACAACGTACAGTTGTGGCCAATCTCTCTCTCTCTTTCTCTTTCTCTCTCCCTTTCTCTCTCTCTCTCTCTCTCACACACACACTCTCTCTCGCTCTCTCTCTCTCTCTCTCTCTCTCTCTCTCTCTCTCTCTCTCTCTCTCTCTTTCTCTCCAGCATATGACAGTCTGGCAAATACTGTATATACGTACTTGTATGCATTTCGTTCGGGGTTTCAATATCTCTTGAATAACTGTGAATGCACATATGTTGGGGTAAACAAAATCAAGATACCCACATTATGTTCTGCCTCTCGCTGTGCAGTATGGACCGCAGTTGTAAGCTCGCAGGTCCCTACTCAGTTTCCCTGTACTGTAGCATTAGCTTAACTTCGATGTGACCTTCCAATGCGACATTGCTGCTGGTATTACATTGCCGACTCGAGGAGAAGAATACTCATCCAGGAGCTGCAGATGGGGGTGGGATGGTGAGCGCAGTCTTCACAGCTTTCTGGCAATTAAGGTCATCTTGATCTTTCCGCCATGCCAGATAATAAATTTAATAATAAATTTCACGGTTCGCGTGAGACTCGGCTGGAAGCCGAGTTTTCCGCATCCGCCTTGGGAACGCCACCACCCTCTAGGATTAAAGGCGCAGAAGCAGCGCCTAAACGGTGGGAGGTGAGTAGATCAGTCCCACCACCAAGGGGTCAAAGACCGAAATCCCATCAGCTGCATCCATGTTACCCTCGTGCCAGGCCACGAGTTCCCAATTAACTGTGACTCGCAGCACGGCTCGAAAAATTCATTCCGCTTCCAAGCAGGACTTGAACCTGGTACCCTCTGTTTCTCAATCATGGTCTTAGACCATCCCACTATGCCTGCCAGATGATCAACACTATTGGAAACATCAGATATTGCAAACTTGTAAGCGGCTTGGTGAGGCTTCTTCCGTCTTTATGTTCAGTATCCCTTTACTGCTTCTATGACACTGATCAAGCCGATTAATGGATCTTAGCTTTCACCTTTTGCTCGTTACTGCGGCAATGTCGCTCCGAAGCATTTCAAAAGGCGTTTTGCCTTTTTGGCATCACGTTGGCATCATTACAAGGTGATAAACTCAGGCTTCACAAAACAACTTTCCAGTAGAGATGGTCAGAAACTCTTGAGGGGACTCCGTAAATCTAGCGGCAGGGCTGATACGCACCACCTTCGTAGATTATCCTTGACTCACTCTTGTCCTAGTTTGCGTTGACTTTCAGATCCGCTCAAATGATCTTCAGCGCGATATTCCCGCTCCTTTCGATTTTTAGAAATTTTTCTGGTTCAATTTCATCCCACTGTTCCGACTCTGCCACATTTTCAGCCATTTTGGCCCATTTCATATGACTTGCCGCCATCCCAACTACCTCCGTCATCATCCATACCTGGCCGCTCCTAGCCCTTTCCCAAAGGTGCTCGCCCTTTGTTCGCCCTTTTTTGCCCTTTTTGGAAAAGCCCGTTTCTTTCGCCCTAATTGCGTTTTTTCGGTGATTATCGCCCTTTTTGTGCTTTTTTAGCTGAAAAAGTGCTAAAATCTGTTAGCTCATGCATGCGATCACAGTTTCCGAGTGCTCGATGGGCCTTGGCACGCCGCTTTTCTGGAGGGCAACAAGTGTTAGTTGGTGAAGCTTGTACACAATGCTGTAAAAAGTGGGTTTTTTTGAACTAACTTCCTGTTTTGCCTTTCGTGGACCCATAAATGGAAGAGTGCGTATTCATTTCTCAACTTGGGTTCAGATCTGGACATGTATCATGGCTATGCTTCACTGAAAAACGAGCACTTTTTGCCTGTTTTCACTGAAAAAAGAGCATTTTTTGCATGTTTTCACTGAAAAAAGAGCACTTTTTCAGGATATTTTGAGGGACGCGAAAAGCACTAAGTGCGAATTAAAAGAGCACCTTTGGGAAAGGGCTAGCCGCTCCAGCTAAATCACGTGACGAGAACTAAAGTGGAAGGAAGATCTAGTAAGGTGACTAATATCACTTTTTTTTGTGAAAATAGCCATTTGTACGAGACATGACGTTTTCTCCAAGCCCTTCCTGCAAGGATCAACTCCTGGATCTCGACTTAGAGGAAGGCCCGCAACATCATGGATTTCTAACATTAAAAGTTGGACGGGTCTTCCCTTGCATGCTCTCTCTCATGCAGCACACGATAAAGTTGGATTCAGAGACATCATTCACAATTCTCTAGCTGATTAATGCCTCTACGATCACCTTGTGATTATGAGTTATACATACATACATACATACGGTGATGTTAACCGTTTTACAGTGGGAGTCAAACCTAGAAGGTAATGTAATACACTGTAGTAGCTACTGCAGTGGTAGCTGACTAGCTTGCAAGAATACTGTACTCTGTAGCATTTTGACCAGCGCAACAACACAATCACAGTCATCATTGTTGCCAGATTTTCGCCTAGTATTGGATAAGCATACCATGTTGAACCATGTTGAACCATGTTGAACCATGTTGAACCATGTTGAACCATGTTGAACCATGTTGAACCATGTTGAACCATGTTGAACCATGTTGAACCATGTTGAACCATGTTGAACCATGTTGGACCATGTTGAACCATGTTGAACCATGTTGAACCATGTTGAACCATGTTGAACCATGTTGAACCATGTTGAACCATGTTGAACCATGTTGAACCATGTTGAACCATGTTGAACCATGTTGAACCATGTTGAACCATGTTGAACCATGTTGAACCATGTTGAACCATGTTGAACCATGTTGAACCATGTTGAACCATGTTGAACCATGTTGACCTACAGGTACATACATGTACTTCAAGCATGTAGATTGTGGGAGTGCTGGATATAGCTAGATAGAGGGGAACAGATGGAGACCATGATTCATATGTTGCTGGAGACACCACGCCTCAGAGGGCTGCGGACTGCACCTGTGACCAGTTTTGGCTAGTCTGTTAGTTCAGTAGTCGGCATCAAAAGCACCCATAATGCCAGTTGGCTGCAATTAGGCCACTTTTATGCTCGGCACTGCTAGTTTACTAAAACCAGCATATAATTCTACTGATAATGGTAGCATTACTTGCATACTGGTATTAGTTTAGTCCCACAATCTGCGATAAAATGATCAGCTGTAGCACCTACTCCACTTTTATGTTTATGTATCTATGTCATTCCGATCTTCCCAAGTTGTACAATGTACTGTTGAGATACCGAATTCAAATAAATCAATACCATACCATACCATACCATTAGCCGCCGATGCGTAGCAGTGAAACCTGTCGAACACAACCGCATAAGGGAACTTGAAAATGTGGTCTCTGTCACCAGGTGGTCGCCTTGTCCAGGGTCAATTGACTGGAAATAGCACCCATTTGTCCTGGTTGCAGTGGTCTTCTAGAACAGGTGGTCGCCTTGACAGGTTTTACTGCATTCCGCACTCATTAGACCTACGCATGCAGCCCACGAATCTCGTTAAGAAAGTAGCTATCGAGGATAATATTGGTAAGCATGACTCTCTTATGTTGATCTAGCATTACTGATTGCTCTCTACCCTCAGTTCTTTGTCTGAGTTATACGCATTCCAATTTGGTACAAGTATTCTGCTGTCTAGGAGCCGGGAAAGCACGCTTTCTTAGCATCCTTCAAAGCAACATAAACTTCTGGGCTGTGCCAGAACCTACTGCAGACTGGCAGAATGTGGCTTCGGAGTAGGTGAGTTGATTCATATCAAGTTTGAGCAGCGTTGTCGAAAATATGACCATAATAATAATATATGTCTGCATTGTACTGAATGAAATGACAATGCAATGTACATGTAGTAAAGGTTGGCACATGATTCTGCACAACACAGCCAGCGAGAAAGTGAAAAGCGAGCATTCAAATTAGCATTATATGCTGATATATCAAGCAGCGCTCAAAGCATTATTAGTAATAATAATCAAGCATTAGGCGAAGATGCCCAAATACGTGTGCCAGCGGATAGCTGAAATAGGGCATGACGCAAAACCACTTGGGGCCGTCAGGTTAATTTTCCTGGACCGAGCCAGCCGGGAAAAAACCCTCGCGCCGACGGACGCAGTAGAGAGGGAAAAAACCGGGTAGGCATGGTGTAGGCATGGCAAATGGTGAGCACACTGCGTAATGTGGAAATACACAACAGTTCTCTTAGTCTAAATCATCAGCTCCGCTTCCAGGAGTAGATCGTCGCTGTTGACTGTTTTGTCAAGGTCTGGCTTATTCAAGTGGACGTAGATTACGTCACCAACAAATTCTCTCATCGCTTTCTCAAATGCATCGTCATCAAGCAGGTCGATGTCATCGAGCCTAGAACAGTCAAAAGAATAAGAAGTTATCTACAGCCGGTAAGACAATACGAAGGGACATTCAGGTACTGCTATGGGAATGTCTTGGATGTGATCTACTCAAACTACAATGTTGTAACTGCAGTAGTAATAACTGCACCACTCATGTTTATAATTAAAATCCAAAAATGACGGAATATTAAAAGAAAAATTACGTCTAGCATGGGACTCGGGTAGACTGAAATTTTCACACCCATAGGAACTCAATCACCCTGGAGGATCAAAGTGCAGATGCAGCTTCTAAAGCGGTCGGAGATGAGTAGTTCAGACCTACCATACAGTTGCCTATAAAATACGGAAAAATCAATCCGCTGCATCCATGCAAATTCGATTCGCGCCATGAATCCAGAAATGTGCAGTGTGAAAACTCGGACACATTAACGCATGGCATGTAAGGCACAGTGTGATGAGAATTAGCCCGTAACAAGCACTTACCAATCAAATTCAGACTTGGCATCGGACTTCATAGTAGTAGTATCAGCAGTGGAAGTAACTTCACTTCCTTCACTTTGGGACACCTTCTTAGTGGCTGGGCTTTCCTCCTTAGCTGAACAGTACAGATGAAGAAGCAAGCGCCTTTTATTAATATATTTACATCGGATCAAGCCAGATTATAGCATCCCATTAGCCATAGAATGCTGGAACATACATATCATACACGCAAGATGACCTACTAGAAACCCCTACGTCAGGAATAGCGTTAACTATTTGCAAAGCCCTTAAACTGTATTGTAGCAGACTACAGCCGTGTTGAAGCAAATGGTCTTTCCACACGAGAAGGAAGCAGAACTCACCACATGTAACGAGAGGTGTAGCACATATCCCAAAGACCATACAGTAAATACCGATCCGGGCCACACAAATAAACAACCAGAGAAAGGTATTGCTTAAGAAAAGGCACAGGAAAGGACAACAGATCGAAAGTAACGTCTTCACGCACATTTCTAATACCTGCATCAGCAATGCAACTTACCAGACGAATGATTGCTGAGTCTTGTTATCTTAGCAGGTGGTGCAGCTGGAGTGGAACTCTTGGTAGGTGCAGTACTCAGTACTGAACTACATACACTCTTGCTTGCTGAAATGACAATTACTGATGGGGATTCCTTGCTGGTTGAATCGGCCGGTCTCCTTTGAATAGTGGAAGTCTGACTATCGGCCGGTCTCCTTTGACAGGTGCCTGCTGCAGAAACAGTGCTGTCACTAATGGTCTCGCGATGCTTGCGTTTCTCAGCAAGGATTTCATCTAAAGACTTGATGTGAAGACCAGCAGCGGTGGACGCTGGTGGGGTCGCTGGAACATCAACAGGCTATGGAGCAGTCAGAAGAATGGCAACAGAGAGAGCGAGAGAGAGAGAGAGAGAGAGAGAGAGAGAAAGAGAGAGAGAGGGAGAGAAGGCGAAAGTGAGAGAGAGTGAATAAGAGGCAGCTAAAACAGCTGAGAGGCCTTCCATTGGCTGATGAATTAAGACAGTGCAACACGTAAACCATCCGCAGGATATTATGACGACGCACCTTAAAGCAATGAATGAAGTTGTTAGCTTTATTTGACACATAACTGGCGCAAAGAACGGATGGCACCTTTGCGGAACAGCTCGATAACAACAAAATGAAGAAAGCAAGCCATGCACAAAATGAATAGTGGTGCACATGCAAGCTTCACTTTCAAGTTTGGTGCAAAGTTTGGTCTTGTGGTGCTGTGCACTGGTGTGGTCAGTAGCTTCGGTGGTACTGCAACAGTTACTAATTATACATGTTAGCAAGTAGTACCTTTTGTGGCTTGCTGCTGGCGTGCACCTTAGCCCAGGGTTCTCTTCTCTGTTCTTGTTCTGTGTCCTGCTGACGCTGCTGCTGGAGCTGCTGTTGCTTGGAAAAGCGTTTGGCTCTTAGCTCCTTGACGGACAGCCCACTGGACTGAAGAGGGCACGATGGTAGTGTCTGCCTTTGAGCAGATGATGATGTCTGCCTTTGAGCAGATGATGATGTCCGCCTCTGAGCAAATGAAGACGGCATTGACAGAGGCTTCTTGGTGAAACAAATTGTATGACCAATTTTATTCAGCGACTGAAATTTGAATGTTTCCGCTTTAACTTCCACCTGCAATGAAAAGCAACATAAACAGGACAGGCACAGAGCCACGTACCACCGGAAAGAAGAAAAAACACTTGATGTCATTTTAAGGTTCAATAAGCCCCGAAATCAGCCACACACAGAGATGAAGAGATGCACGCACGTTTACTTAGGAACTCAAGAACGCAAAATAAAATATTGCAAAGTAACCGCCAGTGTGGTTGAAGTTCTGAAACTAAAGGATAACTGGTGAAACGTTGGGGATCCTCAAAAGACACCGCCAAAGTCGTCAACAAAATGGAAAGCATATGAACCTGTCAACTTTCAGCACCAGGACAGCACCAGGACATACATATCCTTGCATGTGTCCTTCAGAAAGAAAGGATTAGAAAGTTGTACTCTAGATTCATGTCTGCGAAAATGAAAAATTTCCTTTTCATAAATGAAGGCAATGCCACTAAAACTTTAAAGAAGCAAGCATATTGGTGCATGCATGCGCTGACAGTTACAGACAACCAGACAGACACACATCACACACAGTTACACCCTGTCCTACACACATACATGTACATAAACACATACACACATACACACATACACACATACACACATACACACATACACACATACACACATACACACACACATACACACACACGCATACACACCCACACACACGCACATACACATACACACATACACACACGCACATACACATACACACATACACACACACCTCAGACCTCAGACATGCCCATCGCGGGAGCGATGATAGCGAACAGCTATGTTTTAGACATAGCAACTTGTGCTGGGATTACACCATTCAACAGCTTGCAAGGCTGATGAATTGACCGCCACTATTTTTAGCCTGGTATCCACCACACAGCTGTTTGAAGTGACTTTTTCTGGCCAGCGAATCCCTATTTTTCATTTTTCCATTTTTTCTTTTTTTCTTTTTTTTCTTTTTCTACACACACACCACACCACATACTTCGGCATACACTGGCTGTTGGTAACCACCCAGGAGAATGAAAGAAAAGTCAGGAAGAGTCTGAGAAAGAGAAGAAAGACGTGTGTGACCATAATCGTCGGGAATCGAACCCGCAACCTATCGATTGGAAATCGCTGCACATACCACTGCACCATATGGGACACACACATACACACACATACACACATACACACATACACACACACATACACACACACGCACATTTGACATTTGACGCCCATCGCCGGAGGCGATGATAACAATGCTACGGCAGAAGCCATAGCAACCTGTGCTGGGATTGCACCATTCAACAGCTTGCAAGGCTGAAGAATTGACCGTCACTATTCAGCCTTGTCTACACCATACAGCTATTTGAAGTGATTTTTTCTGGCCAGTGAATCCCTATTTTTGGTCTTTTTCATTTATTTCCCCGCACACACATCACACCACATACTCCGGCATGCACTGGCTGTTGGTGACCACCCAGGAGAATGAAAGAAAAGCCAGGAAGAGTCTGAGAAAGAGAAGAAAGACGTGTGTGACCATATTCGTCGGGAATCGAACCCGCAACCTATCGATTGGAAATCGCTGCACAAACCACTGCACCATATGGGACACACACACACACATACACATACACATACCCGCACACACAACTCATTCATTGATATACCACTGGATATACACGGATACAGTACCTCAGGCCTGCGTCGTTTGGCTAACGGCTTTGTTTGGTCTTCTTGCTGAACAGATGCTGTCCTTTTCATGGGTAACAAAGGACCTGGACCACACCTTGCAGTTTCAGGTCTGCGCTGTTGATTTAGATGATCGCGAGCATGAACCCAATGGTATCGGCTCGTTGCTCGAGTTGCTCTTCTCACATCCATTCTAGAGTCAGCTGCAGTTGAGTCGGTGGCAACCCCTTGTGTTCCGGCTTGTCGCAGTCTTTCTTGAGAATTGCCAATAGTTCGGATGGTAGGGCTGCGCTGTGCACTGCTGTCACCATGTATGGGTATCAGCAAGTTGAAATCAGGTGGAAGCACCTGCGTTGGTCCACCTGAAGAGTAGATAGGACAGTAAGGGTTAGCATCAGTGATGGATTGTCTTGATGCATGGCAAGCAGTATATAAGCCGCATCCAGCAACATTGCGCTCACCATGAGCAAGAGAACGCAAGTAACCGGTGATACGCAACTCCCGCAGCCCTTTCCGTACCAAGGACGTTTAACATGTTTGTTTGATTTTCCTAATATTTCAGGTTAAATGGGCCTTCTTGCTTCATGTTGTTCTTGTTTGGCTTTATTTAAAGTGGAGTTCCAAAACAGGCCTAAACCTAATGACAATGGTCCCACTGATAATAAGAGAAAAGAAAAATATATAATAATAAGCGGGCAAACAGAACCAAGAAGAAGATACAGCTGTAGTTAGATAACTAATATGAGCACGGCAGCAGGGGAAAAAAGTCACAAGCACGGCAACCGGGAAGAAAGGAGTGATTGAGTGAGAGAGAGAGAGATAGAGAGAGAGAAAGAGAGAGAGAGAGAAAGAGAGAGAGATAGATAGAGAGAGAGAGACAGACACACACACAGACACAAACAGAGAGAGAGAGAGAGAGAGAGAGAGAGAGAGAGAGAGAGAGAGAGAGAGAGAGAGAGAGAGAGAGAGAGAGAGAGAGAGAGAGAGAGAGAGAGAGAGCGAGAGAGAGAGAGAGAGAGAGAGAGAGAGAGAGAGAGAGAGAGAGAGAGAGAGAGAGAGAGAGAGAGGGGGAGAGAGAGAGAGCGGGGAGAGAGAGAAAGAGAGAGAGAGAGAGAGAGAGAGAGAGAGAGAGAGAGAGAGAGAGAGAGAGTGAGAGGGGGAGAGAGGGAGAGAGCGAGAGAGCGAGAGAGAGAAAGAGAGAGCGAGAGAGAGACAGAGAGAGAGAGATAGAAAGACAGAGACAGAGAAGGAAAGACAGAAAGAAAGAAAGAAAGAGGGGTAAGAGAGAGAGAGAGAGAGAGTGAGAGAGAGAGAGAGAGTGAGAGCTAGAGTGAGAGACAGAGAGAGAGAAATTGAATGAGTCAGAGAAAAGCAGAGCGGGAAGTAGAGAGAGATAAAGAGAAAGAGAGAGAGAGAGAGAGAGAGAGAGAGAGAGAGAGAGAGAGGCTCAGTGAGAGAGAAACTCAGATAGGGAATAATACAGCAGTGAGAGAGGAAGTGTATAAATATAATGCCAGAACAAGCGAAAAGGGACATTATCCCGAACTTTGGGCATTTTTTGAGTTATCAACAGATTCTAGTAGCCAGAAGATGTACAAATCACATGGAAAAAAACAATTGGAAATCCATCCACGGATAGCAAAGTTATGGGCACTTCGTTGACGGTGAAACGTTTACGGTCGCTCATGGTGAGTAGTCACGCCAGCCCAAGGACTCAGGGAAAAGCGAAGGGAGCAAGGCAGCTGCGCTGAAAGGAAGCTCCTTTGTCTTTTACGCTCGGGCATGCTGCGCGTGCAGCGGAGGTCGCGCGGTCGATCGATCGATATTTGATCGCCAATGCGTGGTACGTGGGTCGATTAAGACAGAGTTTTCTTCTACAGGAGCTGTGGGATGCTGGCTCTGCTATCCACAGAGTGAATTAGCTCCAAAGAAATCACGTATCACCGAAAAACGCACACTTGCAAGTCCTCCGAACGTGACAGCCGGAAATCAGCTGATTTACTTCAAGTGCGATTTTCTCAAAATCAAGTGCCGCGGGATAACGTCCCTTTTCGCTTGCGCTGGCTAAATTATTAAATAAAATTAAAAATTAAAATAAAATAGAAGAGTGAAAGGATGAGGGGAACAGAGAGAAACACAGAGCGGAAGACAGAGAGGGAGAAAGAGGACAATGGCAAAAGATAAAGATATAGGACAAACACCTTGAAAGAAGGAAGATAAACAAACAGATACTTACAGGAAAATTCACAAGTCCCGTCCGACTTCAGACCGAGAATCGTATAATCCCAACTCTTCTGCAAGGACGATACTTAGCAAGGCGCTAGAAGGATCCACACAGAGAGAACCTGATTCTGATATCTGTTGGGAGACGGCGACTCACTCAGGCACGCAAATAATCAATCTCTGGTGGGAAGCAAGGTGTTTGAAGGAAGATGCTAGAAAACCAACCGGTGACAGAAACTTATCGTGCAGAACTGGCTGGAGACTGTAGCAAACCTAGGGTTTTTATACATGTACCTACGCTACGTGACGTCGCATTGCGGCTGGTGATTGCCTGCTGATTCGTCAGCGTGTGGTATAGGGCACTCCACGATGACACTAGACTTGGGCTTCAATGTGAAGGACCCCACGATAGGCGGTCTGCCTTTGGGTCATCCTAGTTGTTACGTGTAGAAGAGGTCACCGGCGTATCACTTTAAAATCGAAGGACATGTAATTATTAGGTCTACACTCAGATGGACAGCCAACGATAATATATAAAAAGTAAAAAGGACGAAAGAACTACAAGTGCCTCATTTGACTGGATGTGTGTGTTTGCGTGGGTACTTGCGACCTCAAACCTACCTCAAACGTTATTTTTATTATTCATAACAGGGTACCTCACTTCAGACTCTCCAACTACGATTTTTTCGCTGCATGAGTTCTCTCTTTGTTTCTCTCCTTATTATTCAGTTCGCCGTGGTTAGCTACCACCCGAACAACCCCCATTGCACAACACTACTCGCCACTGAGATAGACAAGTCGAGGTAGCTGAATGTGTGCGAGGCATTCTCCTGGGTGTGTTCCACTGTGAAGCGTATGTCTGGGTGTCTGCTGCTCAAGACACACAACAACTCACTTCACCATTGCTGCTGGTAACCACACTTCTCGTGCTTTCCCTTCACATCGCACTAACACATATTCACACTTACAGACACAGCTCTTCACTGGTCTCCTTCGCTCCTTCCCTTTCTACTAACACACTTCACCATTGCTGCTACCCTCCACACATACAAACATTTCCAGCACTACCGCACCACACAGCATTATTATATACTCGGTTCAGTTTTTGTTGGCTTTTAAGTTGAATGGTTTTTCACCGTGAAGATGGGCCATGGCCGAAAATTTGGTGCATTCCATTTATATCTAGTATTATTTATTTATTTTGGAAGTGAAGTGAACTTATGCAGCGAAGAGACCGTAGTTGGAGAGTCTGAAGTGAGGTACCCTGTAATGTGTGAGTGGCTGCAATGGAGTCTGCGAGTGCTTAGAATTTTTATTATTATTGTTGTTACTATTATTTTTAACCCCTTGACTTGAGCGCGGATGACTTGTACTAGTACGTCATAAGACCCACCCAGTAGTGCCTTACGGATGTGCTTATAATTATTATTATTACTGTATTATTATTTGTAAGAACGGGATTGCTCCCCACACTGGAGCTCGCGCTATTCCGCCGACTTTACTTTACACTTGACTGACTCACGACTGCCATCCAGAGCACACGAGAAGTCCATCGAACCTTCGACTCGGCAAACCTGCAAGAAAGCACCTCTCCCTGCTCAATACACAGTGTTTCGGGGAATTCACCCCTCATCAGTTGAGCTTGAGTAGGCTGAGGAAGATTGTGCCTGAAGAGCACCACTTATATAGTGCTCTCCAGGCACAAACATCACCAGGGATACAAACTTACAGAGACGCTCTGTGGGGAGCAAACCCGTTCTTACAAATCATCGCCGAAGTCCCAACCACTACTTCGTTTTGTATTATTATTATTATTATTATTGGTTGGTTTGTCGGGTTGAGCTCCCGGCAGCTCTCGCTCTTGCGAGAGACTTTTGTTCCTTGACAATGTTTCCAGACAGATGAGTTGCTACTAGATGAGTTGCTTGAATAAGCCGAAGGCAACAGTTACTGTGTTTACGGAGCGCAGTAAGAATGACTCGTCCCTCAGAGCAGGAACGTTCAACGCTCGTTCCTTGAAAAGCCACATCAAGAAAATTACAATAATACAAGATTTCGAACAATACAGGCTTGACATCCTCGGACTGACGGAGACCTGGCTGAACGGAGCCGGTGTAGACACGTACGACAACGGACATGTTCTGTATCGTTCGGGTGGCTCGTCGTCCAGAGCTGGAGTTGGCCTTCTCATCAACAAGAAACTAATAAATAATGTGGAGTCGTACAAATTTATCTCCGAACGGATGATATCAGTTCGTCTCCGAAATGGACCTCGACGTGACAGCAACTCCCTCACGGTGGTCTGCTGCTACGCTCCGACGCTGCAACGCTCGACATCACATCCTCAGGAAACAGATGACTTCTACTCCGCACTACGAGGTATTGCCCGGGAGGTCAGTAGAAGAGATGATTTTATGATATTGGGAGACCTGAATGCAAAAGTAGGGAGCGCCCGACCTGCTTCAGGAGGTGCAGTGGGATGTTTCTCCAAGCACGTATCAAGCAACGCGAACGGTGAGAGACTGATTGAGCTGTGTGAGGAGCAAAATCTGATGTTGTGCAACACCATGTTCAAACATCGTATGCAGCATCGTTCGACATGGTTCTCGGATGGGCTCGTACACAGGGATGGCCAACCTGTTCGAAACATGATTGATTTTGTGATTATGCGAAGATCAAACACAGTGCGCGTTGTGAATGCCAGGTCATACGGTGGATTCACAACAAGATCCGATCACCATCCGGTTATTGCAGATTTTCGACTACAGTCCGTTTCAAAAAGATTTACAATCCTGGCGATCGCCCGCGGAGTTTGGCGTCTTACCGTATGAGCACTCGAGCGCTGCCTGGAAAAACTCACTGTGAACTCGAAGAAATATTCCGCGCGAAAGCAGGAAAAATGACAACTCACTCACGTTGATACAGTCATGTACGTCTGGTTTACAACAAACGAGTTCTTCCTCGTATCGATAATGGAGTCAGAGAGGACATGTCGAAACGAAAGTGTTGTAAATGTTGACGAGCTGCATGGGTCCCAATTCGTTTCGTGACCAAATAGTTTCTTTGAGCTGCGATGCAATTTACTCACCGTGTGACGAAAACGACATCGACACGGACTCATTCCCAAGGCCATGACTTGGCAAAGCTATCCGTGTGACTTCGACGACATTTTGAGAAAAGCAGACGCTTGTGAACGCTGATAGAAGATGGCGTTGACTGCTAAATTCAAATAAATTGGCGATCTTGAAATACTAAAATAAATCTCAAAAGCTACAGCGCGATGACTTCCATTATAATTTTTTTTTTGTTTTTTTTTTTTTTGTTTTTTTTTAACATATGCAATAACATGTTATTTATAAAGACAGGACAAGTGAATAATTAGTCAGTCCATTGTTCATGATGATCTCCGACGGTTACGTCGGCAAGCGAGCCTCCGCCACTGCCAAAGCAGCGTGGGCTCCGCAGGAGGGTGCAAATTTCAAACCAAAATTTAAACGCCTACAACCGCGAATGCACATGATACAGGATTTCAGAAGGCTGAAGGAAATCCTGCATCTAACAAATGCCATAACATGAGAGTAATGCTCACCCCTCTTCTCCGCCAACAGATGAGCAATTCGTTTGTACAGTGCTGTTGATGCTGGACCCATTCCGCCACTGGCTGACATGACCGCCGGAACAAAGGAGGCTTGCTCAACCTGCCTCACCCGCTCCTCATAGTGCCTTCTCTTTTCTTTTTCATGTCGCTGATACACAATAGTATGTGGTGCAGATCGATTTGAGCGTGAGTGAGGATTAAAAACCCGTATATCAATAAGTGTACGCTCAAAACGACTGCCCCACAAACCATTGGCAGCGACATCCAACCGGGCACGGTCTTCCACATTTGCGGTCCGGTAGCGAAGACGCTCCCCCGTCAGCGGTTGCAGCAAGGGCTCGATGGACACACTGGTGCACACCTCGTCCAGCAGCCGGGCCGTGACGTCCCGAATACCATTGTGTCTAATGGAGGGAAACCCTCCATAGGGGCACGACAGGGAATGCGCGACAGTTGCCTCTTGGCCGCAAGAGCAGTGTGACGGTACCCTGGCCGGTGTCCATCCGTAACGGAGGCAGAGTCCGTCCCAAAACTCTCCCTTTGTTAAATTAAAATGATATTTCTTAAGTGGACGGCACGTCAGCCAGCTCGACGACCCTTTCTCCTTCGCGACGTCTATGACATGTCGTAGCGACTCCGACGCACTGCCCGATATCGCGTCGAATTCCAGTTTCTGATGACGTCGAGAAGATGCCTTGGCGTCTCTCTTGGCCGATCTGATTAACACTACCGAGTCACCGATGGAGCCATCCCCTGACAAGATTCTCCGAGACAAAGGGTTGGTCATCCGAACCGACGAGTCGTATTGTTGGCATAGGGACACAGGGTTAATCACACCGAGCCCACCCAGACGACACGGCAAAGCCATAAGCCGTCGGAGGGTGTCGCCTGGGGGTGCACGGCAAGTTAAGGCGGGAATCAGTTCAGACTTCACAATGTCCTCCAGCGGTTGGAACATGGGTTCGGGTACCTTCATGGTACGACAGAGGAACGCCCATCTACCCCTGAGGCCCGTCACATACGCAGAATACGCAGCCTGCGGCTGGGTTTGTGCAAATACTGCTAGCTTCTTCAGTTCCCCCATCCATTCGTCCACCTTTGTTTTGATATAGCTTTGAAGAAAGCTGTCCCTTCCGATTGCTGCGCCAAGATATCGTGATCCCTCGTCCGTTATCATTACACCAGTGTCTCGAAACAATTCAGTCGCCTCCTGGTAACACCTTTCCTTGACGACAAGGACCGATTTCTTTGGGTTTACGTAATATCCATATGCCGGTCCTCTCTTGTCCATTATGTCCCACCATAGACGGAGTCTGCGAAGACGAGCAGCAGCGGATGAATCATCCGCGAACCATGACTGCACCGCACCCGCCTCATCCGCCAAACGTATCAAGGGCATTATTCCCAACGCGTACATGTACATTGCAAGGGGATCACCCTGTGTTGTCCCTTCTTGCGACAGGATACTTTCACCGTCCACGTAGAGATGAGCTGGATCACGGTAGGTATTAATAAGAACGGTAGCAAGTGATGGACACAAGTGCCGAACATTTCTTAAGCAAGTCTGTCGATTTAGTCTGTTGAACGCATTACTTGCATCCGCCATCAGAATTCCTTCGGTGTCATCCAGCTCAAAGGCCTGC